GGGTGGCGGTGGGGGCGGGACCCAGCCACTGGGGCGTGGGGGGAAGAGCGCACGAGGGTACCCGAGGCAGTGGGAGCGGGGTGCAGACAGACAGAGGGCAAAGTGGAGGAATGAAGAGCCGCACAGGTGGGGGGCCAAGAGGCAGGTGGAAGGAGGGACGGGGGGACAGAGAGACCAGGGAGGTAGGAGGGAGGCACAGGCGCGAGGCTGGGACAGGTGGGGGGAGGGACAGAAGGAAGGGGCCACAGGTGCTGGAGCGGGATCCAGGTGTCCTCGGCCCCCAGGGATGGGGCATGAGCCAGGAGGGGGCCTCCTCAGGCCAATTAGCGGTGGCTCCGGGGAGAACAAGGAATTAAGATCTCGGCGGGAGGGGCGCAGAGGGCGCCTCATTAGGGCCTTGGCTGCAGCTGCCCCTCCGCTCCCCCCCGGAGCTCCCCCCGCAGCCTCCACCTCAAAGGCTCCTCTGCTCTTAGCAGCTGGAGAGAGGGCTGGGGTGGGGGAGAATCCTGACTGACTGGGAGAGGGACAGACAGGGTGAAGAGACGGACAAATGGAGGGGCAGAGGGAGAGACAAAGTGACAGAAGGAGAGACTGAGGCTCAGGAGAAATCAAGAGACTGAGCGGGGGAGGAAGAGATGGAGAGAGGGGAAGGGTGAAGTGATGGAGGGGGCTGGGGGGACAAGTAGAGGGGTAAAGGGAGGGACAAAGTGATACGGCGGAGAGGGTTACAGAGGACAAAGGGACAGAGGGGGTTAGGGAAGGAGATGGAGGAGCCCAGGAGGGATGGAGTGATGGGGGTGGGAGAGGGTAGAGATAGGGACACAAGCCGAGGTAGAGGGAGGGGCACGGGGGACAAGGGGACAGCGGACAGAGGGACAGAGGGAGGGAGATGGAAGGGTTGGGGGAGAGACAGGCTGATGGAAATGAAGAAATACAGTCACTTATTCACTCACTCATTCATTCATTCCCAGGGGGACAGACTGGCTGAGAAGGGGCAGAGGGACGACCTGTTGGGGCCAAGACCAGAGCCTCCTACCTGTTGTCGCTCAGGGCTGGGATGACAGACTGGTGGCGGAGGCTGAGAGACAGCTTCTGGGTCCCCCTGCCCAGCCCAGCCCCACC